CTGCTGAATCTATGAAAAAGATTGCAGAAGCTTTTAGCAACACTGCAGCTGAGACGGGCATCATCAGGAAAACCAGGCTCGTCTTTAATTCGGTGTTTCATTTTGTGAAATTGCTTACTCTGAGAGAAATAAAACATTTACATGTATATTAACCAGTGTTTGTCAGCCATTGGAATAAAGCCAGTTCTCTCGGGGCCAAAGAGACACTGAGTGAATGAGTAATAATCTCCTGTTGTCACTCTTAATTTATGGATGGGAGGCAGAGCAGCATTTGCCATTTTGAGTTTTTCTTGTTGCTCCAAAACTAGAAACGATGTACATTATCAGTAGGCTTGGAAACATAAAACATGGCTTGCATGCCTCTTTCCTACCCCCTAGGTGATTTATTTGGCATAGCAATTGTGATGCATCAGCAGGGATCCTGGTTTTCTCTGATTTCAAAAAATCCCCAATTCTTGCTTTTAAAAAGTGACCCCAAATCCACATTTTTCCGTGATTAAAATGAAACACCGCTGTATACATGCATCTATATATTAGTGGTGATTCATTTAAATCATGATAAAATATGGATTTGGGGTTTGTTTTTGGTTTGTTTGTTTTTTTTACCAAAAATTGGGGATTTTTTAAACAGGAGAAAACCAGGTTCCCTGCACATCAGTAACCTTCCCAAAGGGAGCAATGGAGAAGGGGAATGTACCTGAGCTGGATGAGAACTGTGCAGTTTTCACTAGAGGCTAGGAGATGTGGAGGAAGAAGGGTCTGCAAGGGAGGAAAAATGGGGTTGTGCTTTTTTTGATTTTAATGTCCAAAGAAATCCTGGTGATTTGTGTCCCTTTGCTTCCCAAATAAACATTTGCTAATTTTCAAGGTGATGGACCAGCAAATGACAGCAAGTTTAAAAAGTGGAGAGTGGCCTTACAGTGGAGCTGCTGCTTCATAGGAACTGTCTGCCTGTTCCTTGCTGTAAGGGAAGCTATACCTGTTGCACTGAGGGGTGTATTACTGCAGTTTGGCTCAGCTCACTTATCATGGGATAAGTGATGGACTGCAGATGGACAGTAACCCCATGCCCTACCTTTTAACTCACTATAAACCATTTATCTGTATCAGAAGTATTTGGAATATCCTTATTTTTGGCAGGCTATTGAGAGAGAAGTAGGAGTTCTTTCATTTCTCAGTCTGTGAGGCAGTGATCATAAATCTCTCCAAGATTTCCACCCTCCCCCCCCCATCTGTTTTGGTGTTTAAATTGCATAATTCCTGAGGAAAATCAAACAAAACCCCATCCTGCAAACTTTCTTCTATGTGCTTAACTTGTGTCTATCACACCAAATCAAACAGAAGAGTAAATGTTGGCCAAATTGGGGCCTTTTCAACACTGACTAGAATGCTTTCTCCATCCTTATTTGTGAAGTCATACTTCTGGTAGTTTTCCTGTCCTTATTATCTTTATTCTCTTCCAATCTTTCTGTAAAACTTAGTTTTGCAGTACTGGTTAGATAGCTGATGTGCTGGGTTCACTGGCCACCATGCTGGCCAGTGTTGTTTCCCTGTGCTCCCTTGGCTTGTTTGTATTTATCAGTTGTCACCTGTGTTATACAGATGGGAAGCTCTGTGCACTGGGAACCATCTTTCTGTTTTATTTATGACAGTATGATGAGGTCCTAGTCTCTGACTGGGTACCATGGTAAGAAAAAGTCATAGGTATGCAATGAGGTCCCCATTGCCATTTGTTTTTGGATCAGGCTCAAAATTTTTGTAACTGAAGATGCAAAAGAGGGTGGGTTGGGCATGTAGTGAGGTGTCCAGAAGAGCCACTTACTAGTTGATTCTCTTGAGTTTTGCCTAAGGTGAAGAATGTTTAAATAGTTACTACTGACCAACTTTTGATGTGGTATACCTTGCACAGCAGTTTTTTTGGCATGCTTCTTGAAATCGCTGTAGCTTACAGAGATTTTTTTGCACTATCGGAATGAATCTATAAAAGTAGGAAAGATGTTTGCTTAGATCACAAAGCAGGTGTTTGCGCTATTATAAATAGAAAGCTATAGGAGTTGAGGCACTTATTAAATTTGACTTTATAGTGGTTTGAAAAATAGCAGTGGAATGGAAACAAGAAAAATTACTATGGTCTCTGGCAAAGAAGTGACTTAAATGACTATGCTCCCAGAGAAAGCAAAACATCAACCACGGTTGAGAGGCTTTAGGAATTAAGTAATAGTCAATTATTGGAGTGAGGATGAGATCTTGAACCCCTCCTGCTCCTAGGGTGGAGGATCAGGGTGGGGTGTTGATTAACTCTGAAGAGCTTGATTTGCTGGATGACATTTGTATATTATTGAAATGTGAATGTCTTTCTTTATTACCACTTTTCAAGAAGTCTCCTACTGTTGTCCCTTCTAGTGTTGCAGGGGTCAGGTGTGTTCTTGACTTGCTGGGGTACTGTGTGACAGCACCAGTCCTGTCAGAGCCACACCAGTGGGGTACTCTTTAAAAAGTGTTAGCATAGCTTGCGAGTATGTGCACCCCCTGAACAGTGACTGGAGGAGTGCTTTTAAAAATCTAGCTGCACAATTGAATTGGGCAAGGAGTTGAATACAACATACTGTGGAAAAAGCTAAGAGTCCTGATGGGATAGAGTAGGGATGGGGATTCAGGACCCCTGGGTTGTATTCCCAGCCATGTTGTGGATTTCCCGTGCGATCCATTCAGAAGAGTGTTTTAAATAGCATGTACACTCCAAACACTGCGTGCGTGCGTGCATGCGCTAAGGATTCCTGTGCTTGTATACAGCCCTGAGCACTTTTGCTTACTAACTCAGGTACACACACAAATGTGTGTACACACTTGGAAGAGTTTGCATCTGAATTTTCCTCCTGCAAAATGGGGATGAAAATTGGATATATCAGGCTTTAGAGACCAGCTGGTGGTTTTAAAGTACTTTGTGACCTTGGTGTCTGCCTCAGAG